ATTACACTTAATATTTCTTTATTATCCTTTTCAAATTTCCAGAAATTCAAATGGAAATTTTTTTTTTTTTTAACAATATTTTTATGTAAAGTTCATATGTCATTAACCAAATAATTGAGTACAAATTTTTCATTTTTTTCATATTTAATTCTCATACATACTTTAAGTTTATTACCCGTTCTTAACATTTAAGCCAAAAAAAAAAGAAAAATTTCATTTCATAATATTAAAAAATATTTTCTCAAAAAATTCAACAATAAAAAAAATATTTAGAGAATTCCTCCATTAATAAAATCTCAAATATTAAAATAAGAAATGGTTGTGCACTTAAAATAATCAAAAAAAAATGTCATCATTCTTGCCACACAGTTTATTAAATCTTCATTTAATTAAATTGAATAATTTTTTTTTTTTATAAAAAATTATGCTCATTACATTTTTATCCTCGCAAACTTTTTTTTTTATTTATTTTTATTTTTGCTTTAAGTATTTCATTTCCTTTTTAATTCCAAGGGAAATGATTTCTATATGGCGCCTTTAGATATGCAAAATATTTATAATTTAATGAAATTGAATATAACATGAAGATTTTAAATCGCAGTCAGTCACTCAGTCATCAGTAAAACCATAATAAATTGTCTGTTTTTTTCTAAATTTAAATCAAACATGACTAAACGGGGTTGTGTCATAGAAAATGTGTTTAAATTGAAATACGCTATTTAATAAAAAAAAAATTCGCTGTAGGCGAAAGAGAATTTTTTTCATTTTGGGTCAAAATGTTAGTTAGTTAAAAAGGTCATTTAAATTTCCGTTTGTATCCAGAAAAGAAAAATTTATGAAAAAAAATGTGTTATCTATGAATGTGTTTGTAGAAATGCTTTTAAAGTGTACTTCAGAAGGGTATTAAATGTAGGTTTGAAACTATACTTCAGAAAGGTATTAAATATAATTATAGTTTTATAACAAAATAATCGTAAGTGCAATTGCATGCATATTGCAATGTAAAACACTAGAGTTACTTCATCTGTTCATAATAATATTTATTCTGACATTAGGCAATCATTTTCTGAATGTAAAATTATTAGATTACCCTAATTATGAGTATTAGATTACCCTCATTGGAATTTAAAAAGTAACGAAAAAACTACTTAGAGTGCGTCAATCGAGAATGAAAATTTTCTTAGTTGTTAATTTTAAAAGTTAAATGTTCGTCTCCCCAACTCTGATTCTTTCATATTTTTTAACATACACGGAAACATAATAGAAATGTCCTAGATTTCTGTAGTAGATTTCTTACATATTTTTTCGAATTTCTTTAGAATCAGAGAGAGAAAACAGATGAGAACCAAAAATTCTGATTTATCACTTTTCTTTATGTGTCACTTGAACACTTCTTCGCTCATCTATATGGGTCTTTAAGAAGCTGAGAACATATTAATTTCCTTATTGTCTTATTAAGTCAGACTGACTGATTAGTCTTTCATTTCGAACCGGTTTTTTAAATTAAATATTTTATAAAATGTCTTCCTATGTGTTTTATATTTTAGATAATAATTAATAGCATGGTTTATGAAAATATTTTCATACAAAAATAAATCCTATCTCGAACATATACTTAACTAAGGCACTTATACAAACGAGAATATTACACTTTCACAACATTCAATTGCATATGATGCGTATAAAATTTTGTTTCAGTGTAAATAATAATTTGAGTGTTGTAAAATAAGTGAGAAAAAATATCTGGATAATGTAAGTGGCAAGGAACGAAATGTAGATGTGCAATTTGTTATTGCAAAACTGTGCTTGGTTTTTACATTTCTGTTTTGTTGTTGATTAAAGTTCTATAGTAAAGCAAAATATAAAATTTTCTGAAATGAATAAAATAAACCGGAAATGAGAAAATATTTCATTTAAATATGAAAATATGCATACCTACATTTAATATTACATATATAAAACTTCCATATTTGACACACTATCATAGATAAATGAAAATAATATACCGATTAAATGAAAAATGAAGCTAATGAATTCTTTGTTGTACTGCACAATGTATGTACGTGTATTGCATACCTGACAACTCAAAAAACAAATATTTCTAGAAGACTGCAATTAACTGTTTTCTACTCAATTATGAATGAATGCAGATGATAACCTCTATCTTAGCACGTAATAATACATAGCTCATATCTGGATCACAAATGAAAGGCTCACGTGGATGGATCACAAATGAAAGGCATCAACGTTTGGTTGGATAAAAGGTAAACAATTTCATACCAATTTCAATACCAATTATGTCAAAACAAGAATAACTTGCTTTGAAATATGAAATTCATTTTGAGATTGCTTACCTTTATCACAACCATTTCATATATTAACTCAAGCCACAAACAATGTCCTCTCCAAAAAATATGGAGCAATTCTCTTACTATCGCCTTCATTTAAGCTTAATTAATGTTATACGAAAATATAATCATACGATCATTTTAGTGCACTTACCTACCTATGTACATAATGTAGGTGTTCTTAAGGACAATCATGTAAAATATTTGGTAATATAAAATAGATGGCACAGAAGAGGGCACTTTCTACAACAGCCAAACAAAGGCCGTCATTTGTTGCCACCTACTTTCCGTTTATGACTAGACTATATGTGTTAGAGCGACCATTTGTTCATTATAGTAACCTGCTCTACTAAATAAGGTAAAGTCTCTATAAATATTTGAAAATACTTCCAAATAAAGGTTAAAACTATATTAAGCCAATAATGCTGAGATGTTTTTCTTTTACTTCATCTTTGAATGTAATCATCATCATCTTTTGGCGCTACAGCCTGGGGTAGGCTTTGGCCTTCTGCACGATTTGCCTCCAAGTAGTTCTATCTTGCGCTGCCGCTTTCCAATTGTCTATTCTCAGCGCTTGAACGTCATTTTCTACGTTGTCAAGCCATCTTGTTCTTGGTCTTCCTCTTGCTCGATTGAGGTACGGCCGGCTGTTAAATATTTTGTATTGCGCTCTATCACTGCTCATTCGCGCCACATGTCCTGCCCACCGTAGTCTCTGCGATTTTATAAATCTAACGATGTCTTCACCTTCTATTAGCTGCTCTAACTCATCATTACTTCGCCTTTCGTATTCACCATTTTCTAATCTTCTGGCTTTAAAAATTTTTCTTAATATTTTTCTTTCAAATATGCGCAGGCTCTGCATATCACTATTTGTCATTGACCATGTTTCACTGCTATATGTTACGACAGGACGTATAATTGTTTTATATATAATTAGCTTCGTGTGTCGTGATATTATGTTTGAATGTAATAGTTTTTTGTTTGCGTGATAGCTTCTATTACCTGCTTGAATTCTGTCGTTTATCGTATAGTGCATATTATTGTCATTGCGAATTATAGTTCCCAGGTAGTTAAAACTTGTAACATTTTCGAAATTGTATTCGCCGATGGTTATATTTTGCAGCTGTTGCCTTGGTGCCCTAGACATTTCCAAATACTTGGTTTTGGCTTCGTTAATTTTAAGACCAACTTTTGATGTTTCTTTTTCAATAGCTATAAAAGTTTCGCATATTGCACTGACACTTCTTCCAATTATAACTATATCATCTGCATATGCCAATATTTGCGATGTTCTTATAAAAATATGGCCACCGGTATTAATTTTTGCTAAAGCATTCTGCAGAAGTAGGTTAAACATTAATGCGGACAGCGCGTCTCCTTGTCGTACTCCGGTTTCAATATTAAAGGCACCTGAGGTTTGCCCTTGCAATTGCACTTTTGCTTTTGAAAATTTTATAGTCATCATCATTAAATTTACTAACTTTTTCGGTATACCTTGTCTTTTTAGTGCCATTTCCAGTTGCTTTCGATCTATGCTATCAAATGCTTGTTTATAATCGATGAAGAGTATATGTAGATTTACATTATGCTCATAACATTTCTCCATGCTTTGTTTTAATAAAAATATTTGGTCTATTGTTGACCTATCGTTCCTGAATCCACATTGGTATTCATCGATTATTTCCTCTGCCAGCGGTTTTATTCGTTCATAAATTACATTTGATAGGACTTTGTACATAGTATTTAATAATGTAATACCTCGGTAATTATTGCAATCTGTTTTGTCACCCTTTTTGTGTATAGGACAAATTAAACCTGTGTTCCAATTTGAGGGAATATGTTCCTGCTGCCATATGTTACATATTAAATTATGTAGACTCCTTAGCAGAGTGTCTCCTCCCATTTTCAACAGCTCAGCTGTTATATTATCCTCACCAGGTGCCCTATTATTTTTCAGTTTAAAGATTGCAGTTTTAATTTCGTCAAGTGTTGGTAATGTATCTAACGGTTCTGCCGTCATTATATCGTATCTTTGAATGTAAATAAAATTAAATAAGTTTTTAAAGTTTTTGGTCGTCATCTTGTCAAATTTTACACCCAACTTTAAGTCATTTCTGTTTTTAAAATGCATTTGCAATCAGTCTGCACTATTTTATAAGCAAAAAATTAAAATTTAAAGTTTTTCCACATAATTTTTTTTCTTTAATTTGTTTGGTTTTATGTTTTTGAAGTCGCAGCACTTACTTATGCCTCGGCACGACTCTTGTATTTAAATTAAACTAAATGAACTACAACAACAATAACAACAAAAATTATATAGAGTTAAAACAGTGTTACGAAAAGGTTTTTTAAGGATTAAATCTTAAAAATTCACTGAACATTTCATCAACTCAACTTTTTTAACTACGCTTAAAAATTTTTCGCTACTTTTCTTCATTAAAATTTCAACATGAAAAAAATTTTTTATTTTTTTTTTATTTTTTGTGTATTTGTTTTCATTTTTTTTAAATTAAATGTTTTTCAAAAGTCTTTCTTTTTGTTTCAGTAAATTATACAGGAATTCATTTTACATTTAATAATAAAAAAACAGTAAAAAAAACTGCCACAACTGTTCTATTATCATTTTCTTTCTCTTTTTCTCTTTTACAGACATAAATACGAAAGAGGGTGGAGGTAAAAAAACTAAAAAAAAAGAGAACACAAAAACTTACCTATAATTTCCAAAAACATTGAAAAGAAAAAAAAAATTTCCCTTTTTCTCTTTTTATTCAATTTTATACTTGTAGCTTTAATTACTGTTTAACTTGTAGCTCTGTAGTGAATCTAAGGCGACAATGTAGTTTTTCATTATGCATGAAAAGTTAAATGATGGCAGAAAAAAGTTTTTTTTTTTTTTTGTGAGCTCCCGTTTCTATATAAAATTTACAGTTTTTTCATTGATTTATGCGTAATTTGTATTGGTTTTTATTTATTTTTGGCATAGTTTTTAAATATTTTCGAGGAATATATGTAAACTTGCATGCATACATAAATTTTTATAATACATACATAGGTACATATATATTATTATATAATTTCGTATGATCAATTGTTCGAAATCGAACTTTAAGTAATTGTAGCACTTGTTAAAATGAGGTACAAATAGTAACTTATTTTAGCAGTTACTATGTGTAGCTCATAATATCTTATAGCTCATCAGCTATAAGATGAGTTTATCTATAACTTCAAACAATTATAGCTGAGTATATAGAAATATTTTAGATGCCCAATAAAGTGTTATTATCATAAAATGTATAACAAAAACCAAAATAGGGAAAAACTACTTGGTACTCTTACTTTACTATTTGCCGCTATTAATTTTAAATTTCTTGCATAGCTGAATAAGAATCTACAATCGAGTAATTCACTCTCTTTTATGAGAGAGTATAGCGCGCGGTTTCGTATTCGTATAGAATTAATGATAAATTAACAAATTTCTAATAACGTTTCAAAAGTAGATTCAAATAGTTGTAGAAATAGATACATACATATCATATTCTTTGGCCCACAGGAATTACACATATTAGGTTTTGTAATAATTCTGCAAAAATATCTGTTAATATAGAATTTGTGACAAAAATATTTAAATTAATCTTAAGTTAATTTTGACTTTAAATATTTTTAAACTTGTTTAAAACATGGACGGGCAAATCCTTTTTCACATTCGATATTGAATTAAAAATTGTACGAAATATAATGGTAGAACAAAAAATCATCATTCTGTCAATCCAATTTTTAAAAGAAATTTCTCAAGCACAAAATTTACGATAGGATTTTGTAAATAGATTAGACCTTTAAAAATGATCAAGAACTACGACTTTTGATTAATTTACTTCTTGTCTGTGACACTCTCGAAACTTTAATTAACAAAGTCGGGAATGATAAAAAATTTCGAAACACATAAATTTTGTGTTTGTATGTCTGAAATTTTTATGTTCTGTATGCCATGTAGTTTTTATAAATTTGAAAAACGGATTAAATTTCCGCTGGGTTATAGTTGATTAAAAGCAGTTTTTCATTTAAAAGAGAAAAAAAACAAAAACAGTAGATGGAAATTCTTGCATGTTTTTTTTTGTTGTTTTTTTTTACCGTTTTTGCTGTTAGTTTTAACTATTTTATAAAAAATTTTTTTATTATTTTTTCATTCCCTTAATATACTATGTTATGAGGTTATTGTTTTTGTAGAGTTTTGGAGACTTGATTATTTTCATATTATAACTTTTAGCTATTTTCTTCTTATCTTATGTCTCAGGGTTATTTAAAATGATAAATTTTTTTTTTACCGTTAAGTCATATGTAATGTTGTAAATTACCATTTTGTTTTTATGTCATCATATGGAAAATCAATGTTGTTATGCAGTGTCTTAAATGTCTTATGAATATGTTTTGTATTAGTGAAATTTTTATATTTTTAAAATTATTCTTGTATTATAGTAAATGTGGTTTGTTTTATATAAGTTCAAATGGTTAACAATAATTTAAATGAAATTTTGTCTACATATTTTTAAAAATTACTGTCAATTATTGAAAATTTCATATACTTATTATTATTTTATTGTCGAAAAAAGCATTGAGCGTTTGCTAATCTTACATTATATTTAACCTAATTTTTACCATATAAGTTTAACAGCTTAATGTCAGTCTTCGAAGTGACAGCTTAATGTCAGTCTTCGAAACAAAAGAGAAACTCTTCGTCGCGCAAAGATGTCGGTTGGATTTGTTGCTCAATGCAAATCAAGTCTAGTCCAGAATTTCGTTATTCATACTACAGCCTAGTTACAATTTATTTGTCCTGTTGTCGCATTTCATTGCAAAATCTATTATGATATGTTTAAATAATGCCTCGCGAACTCGTTTTTCTCGTGGCATTTTAAGATATCTTTAAAATTCAGACCGTCTAAGATGCATGTAAACATGTTAAAATAAATCAATTAAGGGATTTCTTAATCTTCATAACCAAAGCTGCCTTGCTTATATAACTTTAATCATTAAATCTTTTAATTATTCAGCGTTATTATTTTGTATTCAAAATTACATTAGAATGCAAAAAATTACTCCACATTCGGCACTAAAGAAAGTTTGAAAATTTAATTTTTCGCTGAAAATAAAAAATTTTAAAATTCGACATAAAAAAATTTTAATGGATTGCCCAAAAATATTTTTCATTTTTCCAAAAAAAAAAAAAAAAAAAATTGTTTGTCTTACATCACCAAATAACATCGCATATTTATCCTTGAAAATGAATAAAGTACACGCTTCTCAAGAAAAAAAAACATTTTTGTATTCACGAGCACACAATAACCAATTTTCCTTATTTTATTTTTATAGTTCTGCTCAAGTTTCTTATATATACGAGTACATGCATACAATACATGATAGTAAATAGTGTTTTCACTTAAAACAGAACAAAGAAAAAAAGAACAAAGGATGGCTCGTATAAAAGTGCACTGCTCATGAGTAGACAAATTTTTTTGTGTGGAGACAATGTTCACGATGTTGGGAAAAATATTGGAATCAAAACTGACTTACAGGGCCGTATCAATAAGAAGCGCCATATGATATTCTCCAAGACAATAATATTTGCAAATGTCAGGGAAACTCAGATTGTTAAGTTGAACATTTGCATAACAGAAGAGAGACACCATTTTGAACAATTGTTGCACATTTTTCTAAGTCATTTAAGAAAAAAATTTCGTATAAAGTCACATTTGGAGTACTCTATTTTTCTTAATAACTCCTAAACCAGAACGGGTTGGAAGATGACCCATATATCAAATTAAAGGTTCTACTGACCTAGAAAATTAACGATTTTTAAAAATTAAATGTTAAAATTTCAAGCTTTTCGAATTTTAAAGTCATGTGATTGCGAGATTAGAACAGATTATTGCTAATGTGATATTCATAAGACAGCCCTTATGAATATCTGAGGTTTCCAAATTATGCTGAACAATGCGTCTATCTTACAGCATGGAATTATATCTAAAAATTTTTAAATGTAAAAAAAAATCAGTCGTAATTGATTTTAAGCCCCTGTAACTTTGAACCTGTTGAACTGTGAAAATCATCTTCATACAAAAGCTTTGTCTACTCATTAGGGCCTATACAATGGTATATAACAGTGTACTTTGATACGAGACCAACCTGTATATTATACAAAAGTTTATGTACATTACAAACACATTATATACAAAAATTTATACCTAATAGTAGAAAATATTCGGTTCTAAGCCTTCTTTGATTTTTTGGAAAACTACAATAATTTTTTTAATTTATTTATTAATTATTTTTAATGATTAACGAAGATACTGATGTTAATATTATTGATGTTATTGGCTAAAAGATTCCGGATGATATTTGTGTTTTCTTAAGGTTAACAAATTCAAAATTTGATATTTAAATAAAATATGATCTAATATACTAGTTATAATTAGTACTGTAATTTTAAGTAATTCATATAATTAAATATACAAATTATTTAAAAGTCATTTCATTGCTTGCTATGATAAAGGCAGAAAATTATTGGCATAAAACAACAGTACGCATACAGTATAATGAATAGTTAAGAGCGTTACATAGGGTACATTAATAGTCTGAAAATATTATTTAAAAGTCAAATTAATTATTGTAGTAAAACCTGTCCAAAGAGGTAGAATTTCAAGATATTGAAGTTTTTGTTACGGCCTCTAGAGGATAGACAGGTTTTATTAAAGTAAAAACAATGACAGAATAATGACAATTTTTATTTACTTTAGAAAATATTTTTACTACTCAAACGAAACTAAAATTTTTTTAAACGAATTTCGGCAAGGGCAGGTTAAAAATTTTCAAAAATGTTTAAATTATTCATTGTTATTAATTTACTACAAAAAAAATTTACCGTTTTTGGGTTTGACTGGTTTTCTAAGAATTTTTGCAAAAAATTTGACTTAGCATTTTTTCCGTCAATGACAGGCTTTCAAGCCTCACAGTGTTCGGATTTGACATGATTTTAATGTTTCTGTTAAAATATTAATTCATGTTAAAATGAATTTTATTATTCTAAAAATTGAAAATAATTGAGAAGTATAAGAAGAGAAATTATTTATGAAATCAAGATATTCAATGAGAAAATTCCTCATCTACAAATTTGTTACATATTTTCTCTCAAATACAATCCATTTAACTTTTTTGGTTCAGTTAGAATCCAATGGTATAAGAGCAAAAACTATAATTTTCTTAAGAGAGGAATTCTTACAGTTTTTATATATGTGTGAAATGTAAAAGCATAAAAACATAATATTATTTCAGTGATACTTAATCGATAATATTTTTCGAAATTTTTAGAAAATTTTAAATATTTTCCAACTTTATTGAATCGAATAATGTAAAGTTGCAAGAAAATTAAAACTCTAGCCCAAAAAAAGAAATCAGGTCATTACTTTTCAAAGTCAAACCTATTAAATTTTTTAATTCTGCTTTTAACTGGCACATATGACATCCTTTACTATTATAATTTATAATGAAAACTTTATTTTTAATAACACATTCACACAATATGGTTGAAATAATTAAAAAAAATTTAAATTAACATCTAAAATATCAAAAAAGAGCGAAAAATAATATTGATTATGTGGTGAAAAAGTACTAACGCAAAAATGTGTCATTCTCAAAACTGTTATATATACCAATTTGTGAATTTAACATATAGTTTTGACACCAAATACCACATGAAAAAGCTTATCTTAATATGTTACATAATTTTTTATACCCGGAAAAATTTCCTAGATTAAAATTTTTCAAAAAAAAAAATCCCACCACAATTATCACCTATTAGACATTATTTACATATTATACAATAATTTTCCACCAAATGTCAATTCTTGTGTGGTGGGAATGTGGTATTTCAAATCAAACCACCCTATATTCATATACTTACATAACTGTTATACAGTATATGTTTGAAAGCTCATCAAAAAGTAAATCAGTTCACCCAAGCGCAAAATAATACCGTTGTGCTAAAGAGCCTAAAAAAGAAAAAAAAATTTTTTATTAAATTAAATTTTTTCCTAACAAACAAGTGAAAACCGAAATTTTTTGACAATTTTTTTTTTTTCTTGTTTTTTTTTTTTTGTAATCAAATGTATATTGTACCCTTCCATAATACTTTTATACTTAGATGTTATGCGATGTTAAAATACAGGAACAAAAAAGTAATTTATATTTAAATCAGCCTATAAATATGCAAATTTTTTGTATCTTTTTTTTTTTTGTATAAATCATAGCTAGTCTCAAATTTTTCTTTATAACATACAGTCTATATATTCATATGTATATTAAGATGAATGTTTTTTATAAAATAACGGTTAATATTATAGTAATTTATATAGGGCATATGCAACCCACAATACGCGACCCATACAAATTTTGTCGATATTTCGTACGGTGTGCGAAAATAACATAAGTGTAGTCCTAACATAAAATCCGATAAAGGTATAATTTTTATGGAAATCTTAAATATTAATATTTATAATTCATAAAATTTGGTATTTACTTTCCTTACTTTTCTTTTTAAATAGTTAATGAAATAATTTATTGCAGTTGCGGGAAGTAAATTAATGAAATTTGTGTGATTTAAGTTTTTACATCTCTTTTACTTGTATAGTCTGCCTGAATTATTTCGGCTCGTTGTAATATTTCTACTATTCAGTCAGGTCCGGCCCATAGTCCTGTAAATGTTGCATAATATATGTCTTATGTATGCGACATAACCTTTAAAATAATAAATATTGAAGATATTTTGATGTGTTCATGATATCCTGCTGAGAAATCATGGAAAAAAATTTTTATAAATTAAAATTTCAAAAGATGAAAAAAAAATGGATCTCATTTTCAAAATATTCTGTTTTATTTTTCAATTCATAAAAAAATGTTCCGTGTTCTATTTTGTATTTTTCACCCGTTTCATATAGTTGTGTAGTATAATGCTTTTCTACATAAGCCCCATCTATTTAACAAAATATCAAAAAAATTCTTTAACATTTTATTTTTTATGTAATCGTTTTTGTTTTTCGCATAAAGCTTAGTCGTCTACTCTTTAATATTAAATTTTATTATTATTATTTTATATTGTAAAGACGCAGTCATTATATTTACATTACATAGCATTTTGTATTTCCAGATCAGTAATTTTGCAAAAAAAAAATTTCTTCAAAATTTTCCTCGACTTCTCGAATTACGATCTATATATTTTTACCCTATTATAATTTACTGTAAGCATCATGTACAGTAAGCATTTTGATTTTTATGTCTTACAATAGAAATTTTATTGTTAATGTTAAACATTTTCGTGTATGCATATAGGAGCCTAGATAATAAAAGCGGGGATAGAAATGAAAAAACTTTTCATAAATTGGTCTTTAAAATACTATAGCCTTACAAATAATTCTTTAATGTTACATAATAAGTAATTGTTTTTTTTTTCTTAAAGAAACATTTGAAGATCTAAAATTGAGAAGTTATCTACAAATTGCAGATTCCAAATTATTAAAATATGAAAATTCATTTTAGATCTTTTAATTTTAAATATTATTGGAAAAATTAACGTTTACGTGATTAAGCCATATTTTTGACACATAAGCTTGAAATTAATTTTTTATGTAATATTTCTGATGCTTTAGAAATTTTATTTCTCTTCTATTCTCTAATATTCTATAAGTAATGCGTTTTCCTAATTACATTAATAATTTTATAACCAAAAGTAGCATACTTTCGGGCGTTAAAATATATCTGAAAATCATTTTTAGACATGGCTAATTCCAATTATTTTAAAAATTAAAGTTCATATTTTGATAAGTGTTTTTGTAAATCAAAAATGGAAATAGTCATTGTACATTTTTCCTGTCGGTTATATCATAATATAGAGTCAGTTACTTAACTTAAAAGAGAAAATCAAAATTTGTAAGACAAGTTGTAAATTTAAAATAGTATAGAAGGCTATAAGTGCCTAAGGAGTAATAAATCTTAAATTTGACGTTATCACTGTGAATAATGACGTTATCAATTCGTATGAACAGAAAAAAATCTTATTCTTTCCCTAGGTTCGAGTCCTTATTTCGAATCAAAATCCAAAATTATTTTAAAATTAAATTTCCTATAATGAACTTCAGTGAAAAATATCGTAAAAAAAAAATTAATCTTCAGGTATCAAATTAATCTTTTTATTGTTTTCACTCTTATCATTTCTGCTTGGATTTAGCGGAGAAAAATTTACTAATTTAATAGAGAACAAAAAACGATTTTTTGTTCTCTATTTGCTAATTTTTGAAAATAAAAAATTTATACTTGAAGGATTTACAATAGGCAAATCGGATTTTATTGTAAAATGTAAGAGCTTATAAGCACAATAGATAATACGAATATTTAGGTCAGAATGATACTTATGTCATCTATTTATTATGCTATTGTGCAAATTTGGATTTTATATACCAATTAAATTATTTAATAAAAATTTTTATATATGGTCATTCACTATATGACCATATAGATGAACAATATGTTCTGTACACAGTATACGCTATTATGCAAATGTGGACATTGTTAAAATTAGAAAAAGTTATTACGTAAGGAAAATTGTAATGGACGCGTATAAAATTCCAAAATGCAATATAATATTAAATTATTGTGTTTATGTTTGAAATTTTTATGATAATAAAATTAGCTTTACAAAATAACCATACAAATTTTGAAAATCTGAGAAACACCGATCTAAGGAAACCTTTCAGATTATCAGGAAAATAACTTCAAAATTTAATCTTAAAATTTCAAAACATAAACTTTGAATTTTATTTGTTTCTTCCCCACATTTTTCTACTTATAATTTACTTTTTTATATAATATTAAAGATTAGCAAAATTTAGTCTTAATTATGCTTCCCCGACTATATAGAACTTGCATTTCTTTTCTTATGTAAGAATATGCATAATATTTTAAATTAATTGAAGAAGATCAAAATTTTACAAGCTTATGGGATAACGACTTACTGGTGCAATATTTAAAAATTCGAAATTACACAAATAAGCATTGTATAAATGTGGTCCCGGTCCTTAAAAATTTGAAATTAAACAGGCTGTCTCTCTTTTTCTAAAAAAATTGATCTATGTTTTGAAATTCACAAAATAAGGTAATGACTTTAATAAAATGTGACATGTAAGCCAATAAATATTTGAGTATTTTCATACATATTATATTATTATTTTTAATTCGATTAGATTTTAAGATTAAAAATTTACGATAAACTTACGATTATCATCTGTTTTTTTGGTATTAAATTGGTGTTTGTTGGCGTAAATTTATTTATCAATTATTCTAAATATTTTTAACTTTAGCTGTTTTGTTATTATTAATTCTTAAATCTCATAGTCATTGAATAAACGAATATATATAAAATGGTATTTAAATGTTAATGTTAAAATGTTATTTTTTTATGTGAATGCATGATTATCTTATGTTATAAATTAAAAAACTAAATATTTTAAATACTTCAAGTTTAATTTATTTATAGAAATTTTAATAAAATTATAAAATTATTAAAAAAAACAATTATATACATTGTAAAATCAAAAATTATTCTGTCTTCATTGTCAAGTTTTTTAACAACATACATAGTTCAATACAAAACCCGCGGTGAGCCTGGATTATTATAGTACGCCAAGCAATTGAGTTGAAAAAAAGATGCATGATGATAAGTTGAACTTGCAAAATGGCTATTTAAAAATTCAATAAAAATTTTGGTATTTTGAGATATACTTAAAAGTATTTCTATTTATTAAATTGCATTCTTTCGGGCGATAATTATTTATTTGAATTTCTAAAATACATGCGTCAACATGTTTTTTAAGTTAATAATTATGTTTTGAGAATTTATTATTGCATAGCTATAGATAGCTATTTCCAAACATGAAAAAGTTCAGTTCCAAACATCAAAAATGACAACGTAAAAAAAATTGCATATATTTTGGAGTTCAATGAAAAAATTTAAATTTTGTTCTGAAAATTTGAAAATTTACTTTGTGTAATACCTATTATATAATATTAATATGCAATTAAATTTACGTTATTGTTGGAAGATGATTGCACCACATGGAAAAAATAAAATTCCTACTTAATATGCAATTTTTTCAGAATTATAACATTGTAACTTTGAATAGGAATTATTAAAATTATTCAGAAGTTTAACAAAATTAAAAAATTTCAATTTAATTTAGAATACATAAAACGTTATAGATGTCTGTAATCGCTTTATTATATTATACGTTTTTAGTAGGTTATAAAAATATTAGTTATTAAAAAAGAATCTATGTTTTCGTTTTTGCATGATAATATAGCGAAAAATCTCTATATAAAATTATATAAATAAAGTATGTACTCGTTAGAGGAATGAATATGAATGGGCTGTTAAATTTTTTCTTTATAATTTTTATTTATTTATCAATTATTTTAATTAAATAAAAATTAATTTAATTTTTACAATTTCTTTAATTTAGGAAAGTACTAAAAAAACCTGAACCAGTTTATCAAGCTATATGGGCTGACACAACAGATTTTGATGAAGTTATAATATCGCCTGTTATGTTACAAGATCATATGCCAGACAAAGTGTTATCAGCATTAAAGAAGGTAATTGGAGAATTCACGATCAGTGATAGTAGCTCAGAGTATTCGATTTAAATTTTTTTTTTATCTGCCTCTAATTTAATTTGATTTTTGTTTATTTAATTTTATATTATTTTGTTATTTTTTAATTTTTTAATTTTTAAGTAATTTTATTAAAAGAAATACAATAGGATTTTTTTTTTAATTTAAAATAATTCGAAAAATATTTTTAATACTGGAAATTTATTAGTGTAATATCAAAATTTAGTTTGTTTTTTGATTAAATCTCATGACATACGTTACTTACATGTACGTATAATAAAAACATTTTGTGATCATTTATATTTAGAAAATTAAGAAATTTTTTTCACATTAAAATTATTGATTTAAAATAATACAATAGTTCTAATCTAGTTTCGATAAAATTAAAAAAAAATTGTTAACTCTAAATTAAAAAATTAGACTGCTTTTCTAAAAAAGTTTTAATATAGATACTCGTAACATTTTTAAAAAAAAATTTTGTCTCCCAAATTGACCTGGATTTCAACAAACTCGAAAAATTGTATTAAGGCTTTCATTTTTGCTGAAGGTCTGAGACGCCCGATTAGCCGATTGTTTCCAATGATTGTTCAATGAAATTACCAATCTACTTGGTTTTTCGTTGGCCATACAATAATAAAACGTTGAATCACCTTCTATTAAAGTCGTTATTATTCTCTTTTCTTCTTTCTTTATTAATGTGGTATTAAAAATATCTGCATACTTGCAATATTTTTGTTTTTATTATGATTACGATTCCACTTAATTTGAGAATTCATTGCTACGGACTCAGAATTAAACTTTTTGACTATTGTTTAATAAAAATTACTAAATACAATATTGAAATCATGCGGAATAAGATACTTTTATTTTTGCTAATATATTTCGTGTGCTGCACATCCACTTCACTAAAGCTGATTTTCTTCTAATTAAGACAACAAAAATTAAAAATAAATTCTATTTCAATTAGAAATATTAACTTATTTAACCTAACTTTATATCTGATTTACGAGGGTTACTATTTATATTTCGGGTCTAGCAATAAAAAACAAACATTTATCATTGGAAATGGTTTTATTGTTTTTCAAAATATTCCCCATGAAGATCAATACACTTTTGCATGCGCTGAAACCAATTTTCGTAGCACTTTTTCCACTCCGATTGAGACACCTCCAAAACATGGTTTTTGAACGCATCGACTGCTTCTTCAGGTGTTGAAAATCGTTGTCCACGCATTTTTTTTTTGATGTGAAAGAATAAGAAGAAGTCATTGGGTGCTAAATCAGGACTGTACGGCGGATGACCCATCAATTCGACATTTTGAGTGCTCAAATAGTCCATTGTTTCAGCTGATTTGTGAGAGCTTGCATTGTCATGATGAAGAATGATTCGCCGGCGCTTGCTTGTTTTCTTTATTTCTTCGAAAACTTTCGGCAAACAGATGGTGGTGTACCATTCAGAATTGACCGTCCTACGTTCCACTAAAGGTACTGTGGCCACATGACCGGTTATACCAAAAAAAAACGCGATCATTTGCTTCGATGTGCTTCTTCCACGAACAACTTTTGTTGGATTTGGCTCGTCTTGGAACACCCATACGGTCGATTGCTGTTTCGTTTCGGGCTCATATGCATAGATCCATGATTAATCACCTGTGACTATCTTATAAACGTCTTTTGACGCACCGCGATTGAATTTTTTCAACATTTCTTTGCTCCAATCGACACGAGCCTTCTTTTGTGCAATCGTCAAATTTTTTGGGATCCATCGACAACACACCTTTTTCACGGCAAGATGTTCATGCAATATCTTATGTACGCTGGTGGAACTAATGCCCAAGGATGCCTCAATCTCACAGTATGTCACATGCCGGTCCATCATTATCATTTCGCGCACAGCATCGGCAAAAGGACCGAAATTGGCCGACCTTCACGAAATTCATCCTGGAGCGAACGGCGTCCGAAACCAAACTCTTGGTACCAGCGATTTACAGTGGTTTTTGATGGTGCTTCATCACCAAAAGTCGAAACAAGTTGATCGAGACACTCTTGTCTCGATAATCCGCGCCGAAAATCGTAAAAAAAAATCGCACGAAAATTTTCACGGGACAATTCCATTTTTTGACCGAGATGAATTTTTCAAGTCACTGTAAACAAAACAATTCGCGCTCGAATGACAAAACGCTCTGAGTGAAGTTGTCCTAAAAAATGTCAAACTTTCCAATGGAAGTGTCAGATTGCACCTGACAGCACTAGTATTGCCAGGACCTGAAATATAAATAGTGACCTACGTATTCTGAAATCTAATTATTTTCTTTTTTTTATTATTTTATATTAAAACTGGACAAACAATTAAGCCGGGTTACCTTCGTTCGTGTTCAGTAGGTATTCCAGGTTTGATTTGTTCATCTTTACCTCTTTTAATACCTTCAATTCGTCCTCTATAATTATGTGATCCGTTTCGTAAATATGTTTTGCAACCATTGAATCGAAATTCCTGTTAATTCCTGCTTTCCTTGCCCGTTTTATCTCACTCAAATTTTCTTTAAGCCTTGTCTCTTCTTTTGGTGTATCTTTCATGTTTCTTCAATTTATCCATACCCGAATTTAACGCGTTCCTCACTTGGTATTTACTGTTGATTTCCGATGTCCGAATATTATGTTGCTTTAGTTGTTTATCAAATTCATAGAGCGATGATCATAAGTTGTCTATGCCCATGTTGTTCCTTGTCCTTAAAATAACCTCTTCTGTTTACATAACGCGTCCAATATGAAGTTTACTTCTGCTTTAAGGTGCTGTGCAGATAACATTCTGTGGATCTTAGAGATGAACGCCATCATTTTATGTTTCTTTGAGTGATGCATCATTGTGTGGTTGTTTTTTTCCTGTAAATTAATTGTTTGACCAGTTTTAAGGATTAAAACATAAAATTTTAGCTTAAAATTAATATACTAAAATAAAAAAAATAATTAAAAAAAAAAAAGAGTTCTTAACTTTGTTATGAAACCAGTGTAGTTGATGCTTTGGGGGACGACCTGGCAAAGCATGTCATCCGCCACTGGTTGGGGCATCGGCCACCAGCTACTCCAGTGTGCATCTGGCTGTGTCCCGGAGCTTCAGCCTGGGGTGGGTTAAATAGAAGTAGCCGGTTACCACCAATGGCTACGTAGCATAAACAGAAAAAAAAATTATGCACACGTTGAAAAAAAAATAAAAAAAATTAATGCGATTGCAAAAAAATAGTGAGGTTGGATTCAACATGAACATCTTGTAGTGAACCAGAACGTGAAGCGTTATGATAGGGTGCACCACACGGTACATCACTGTCCCGAGCCCTACCCTTCCATGAGTCTCAGATGTTGTTGAGACTCCCAACTTTGCTCGAAAAACCACTAAATTTTGGACACCCCAAAGGGGACAGGAACTAAGATTCCATCAGGTGTTTACGTGAAGTATAAATTTTTAGTTAAATAGGGCATACTTTTATATAACGAGCATAATCGTGAAAAAAAATGAATTCACTATTATTATAAAGGACGCAATTCTGAAGAAAAAAAAAAAGAAAAATTTTACGAGAGGGAATAAAAAAAACAAAAAAAATAACAAAAATATCAAAATAATAGATGCAATGTTTTCAAAAAAAAATAAATTAAACTAAGTTTTTTTTTTCTTTTTGTAGATAATTATACATACAACTAAATTATATACAAAATGCTACACATTTGTTTTTCTAAGTTATATGTTTACGGATCAAATCGTAGAAACACTATTTGTATGAGTTAGTCAAAAAAAAAAAAATTTCACAAAAAAATTATACTGAATTTCCAAAATATCTCAAAATTTTTAATTTCATTTATTTAATTTTAATTATTTGAACAAAATTGCTTACCTACGAAAGGATTCGTAAATCTACATATTTTGTTCTTATTTCTAAATTATTCTTTGTTTAAATTCATTAAACAAATCATTGTTCAAACTATTTGTGAAAAAAAATTTCAAAATTATATTTTCATACTTTATATGCAAAAGTAAAATAGACTATTTAATAGTATTTCATAAATTTTTTTGATAAATTGTGATCTAAAAATATTCTGTATTGAAAATACAAGATTCAGAATCAAAAAATGTATGTATGAGAACTATAAGTTACTTGCTTATGCATTTTTATATTAATAATTTTTTTTTCTCTTATTTTATTTTAATTTTTATGGACATTTCTAGATTCCTGAATAATCTATTTTCAAAATATATACAATATTAATAACTTTTGAGCAAAAAAAAAATTGTTTAAATACATTCATATTTTTTTTTCTGATTTAAAATTGTATAGGTTTATAACAAGAGAATTTTTTTTCTCTTTCTTTTTCTTTTAAAACTTTTAAAGCAAGTTTTACTAATATTAATTTGGAATGATCAGCACTTTTTCACTTCTATATTCTTAACATAAGTTAATATAATTAAGTATTGGAATTCGAATTTACTTACAATTTAAGCTGTGGTAAAAAAAAATTTCTTTTTTCTTATAAACTTAGATTTTAAAATTTCTTTTTCTGATGTAATCATAGGATACGTTTTTTTAATTTCCTTCCTTCGATAATTTACGTTCTATTATTTTATTATTTTGCAATTAATATTTTATTATGTTGCATGTAGGTCTTATCCAATTTAAGCAGCAAAAATTTTTTTATTTTGCCCACGAAAATTATATCAATTTCAAATTTTTGTAACATTGGGCGTACTGTATAACAATGATAAGTGTGATTTTTTTTGTAATAATAACAATTAAGTTTTCAAATTTTACTTCAAACAAAAAGAACTAGTACAAATTATTTTCTTACTAAACGATTTTTTTTTTTTAATTTGTTAATGTTTCAACCAAAACTTTCAACCAAAAAGTAGTCAAAATTATAATTTTCTGCTATTTCATTTTTTTATTAATAAACTTTTCTTTCCAAATAATTTTTTTTTTTTTTGAATTTACAATTTTCATTTAAGCACATTTTCTAATTTACAAATTAATTGCGAATAAATAATTTTTATTTAAATTGTGAGCCTCTTGTCACTTTATTTGTACAATTATAAATTTTAATACATTTGATACTATTTTTAAGTTACAATTTTGTTACTTATATATTACACATTTATTGTTTTGTTCATAGTTTATAAATTAATAATTTATTAATTTAATGATTTAAATTTTGATGGAATTTGATCCTTAATTTTCCTTTTTTTTCTTTTCTTTATTAATTTATGCCTACGTTCAATGCGAGGTCTGAATTTTATCTCCTCTATTTATCAAAAAAAAAATTTTTCATATTTTTTTCACTTTTATTGAAACAACATTTCTAATTAAAATCTACATACATAAAAACTCCAAAACTCCTAACGGTAGGATCGTATGATATTTTACTGGAAATTTCGATTCCGAAGAAAAAAAAATTCCTAATAGAAATAAACCAACAACAATAAATCAGATCATGACACAAAAAAAAAATTTGCATGATATGACATTTAACCCTAAACAGGATTCTACCTAATATTTAATACAATTTGTTCCTATATAACACCAACATACACACACCTATAATTCGCATTAGGATGGTATATAACATATAAGGGTTAGCAAAGAATTAGGTTATTTTAAACTGAAACGAAAAAAACTACAACAACAATTTGCATTATGCCTATGAGAAGAGAATAGAACGAAAAAGAACAATAAAAAAATTACAAATACCAATAAGGTACAAGTATACTTATGCGTAAACATGCAAATCATGCGATGTACGACTGTATACATTTTTCTTTGCTATGAATATGTATGTTTACGAATTACATTGTGTATACATATATACATAGGTTATATGCACGAATTTTGTAATTTATTATTACTAATATTATAAAAAAACACATTTATTTTTATTTAAGAATATTTATTTTGAAACGAAGTGAAATTGGCAGCAGTTTTACAACAACAAGATATTATGTTTAAAACAATTTTCAACTATGAACCTAATAACTGTTCGTCTTTTTAGAATCTCACTAACTAACTAATTAATCCAATATTCACCTCTATTTATATCATATTTAATTGCTTATCAACTAATTACATTTCTTTTAAACAAAGAAATTATTCTTTGTCTCAATTTAACATAATATATACATAATTACTTTATTTTATCATGTTATTTACTTTCTTTGAAATTTCTGATAATATTTCATCATATTTTTCCTTATCTTTTAAACATTTTGAATCCTGATCGTTAGCAGGTAAAGTGTTAATATGCATAGTTGTATTGCTTTGTTTGCCTGTATCTATATATGTATATAACTTCTCCCTCCTTTAGATCAGAATTCTCCTGAATTCTCTTAGTTTTATTACACATAATTCTTTTACAAATATACAATGTTATCATTGTTAAAGGAATAAATGCTATTTTTAATACTCGTACAATCATTATTACTAATTTATACCTAACCAAATCTTTTTATTATCTTTTATTTCATTTATTTCTTTTAAATTATTTTCAAATTTTAATACAATATCTTCAAAAGTTACTTTATCTGTAAAATTGTTATTTTCATTTTTACTAGGATAATAAAATCGTTCTTTAATAATTTCTTTTTCATTTGAAAATTCATTATCTAAAATTTTTAATGAGCAATTATTGTAATGTATCAATGTATTTTTAAATAAAGTTAAATTTCTTTTGTCACAAGATTGTTTTAATGTTATATTATATGGCTTTTTTATTAAAATTGTTTCATCATCAATAGTTAATATTTCGGTTATATTATTTTTAATGAGCTTACAATTATTTTTGTATATACAATGCTTACTTATACTTAATTCATTGATTGTTTTAAATTCTTCATACTTATAGTTTACATTATTTATTTGGACTATTTTTTCTTGTGGATAATCAATTTCTTTCTTATTTTTATTTGGTAATGGTAAGATTGTTTTTAATTGAACTTCAGTAAATGCTTTAGGAATCTTTATAGCAAATACCAACATTTTATTTTTCATTATACTTACTCCTAATTTAATATATTTTAATTTATTAAGATTTTTTTCATACTTTTCTATTTCTTCATTTGTTAGAATATTTGGGTGTAATATACCATGACGTGCTGATGCTAAAATAGCTTGAATATGCTCAACTCTTTCTTTTAAAATTTGTATTTTAAGTTGCTGATCATAAAATATACTTTCATTTATATTATTCTTTATTCTATTAAGTTCTGATACTACCAAATTCCTATCTTTTAAAATTATATTTTTAAGTTGTATTAAGGTTCTATTAACCTGATCATTGATTTTAATTTGACCCCGAAAATTATTGATTATATTATTATTGTTAATATCTATTCTAATTAAATGTTCCTCAATATTTTTTCTGTCTTCTTCATCCATGGTTCCAAATAACCATCTCTTTTCGTCCGTTTTTCGTTAATCGTAAAAGTTTTTACCCTTTCTTCTATTTCTTTTAATTGTAATAATAATAAATCGTTATTTCGTAAATTTAGTTTTTCTATATTCGTTGTCATCATTTGTATTATATAATTAATTTCTGTTGGATTGATTATATGAAGTATAATATTAGTTTTTGTCACTACCTTTACTGTGTCTAATTTTATTGTCACAAAGCCTGTGTCTTCGTCAATGTCTTGTACTTGTAACTGTGCATTAGTCATTTTCCCTAACAGTAACCATATCAATATCATTGTCAACATTATCGAGTTCGCCTTCATGTTATTAATCCTATTGTATAGTTGTGTTGGTTCTATATCAGGACGGTACCTTGTTTTTAGTACTGTTTTTATGTTGTTTAAATTTTCTGGATCAGGGATGTTTATTATTATCTCCTTCGCTTGTCCCTGTATTTTCTCGTGGTAGATCATCCTAGTCATTGCTTTCTTTATCCCTGGATCCTGTGTGGTGCTTAGTTGATACTCCACACTGGATACAAATGAATTTATGCTGACTGCATTCTGTCCAGTAAATATCGACATATAGTTTCTTTGCCTAGCTGCAAAGTCCAACTGCCTATTATTATTTTGCACATTTTGGGCATGGAGTTCTCGCATGGCTGCGGTTAGTTCTTCTATCCGTTGATTTTGTTTTAACACTTCTTCTTGTAATTGTTCTGCCATTATATCAC